GATAGGGACAGGGAAGCAAACACAAGATGTACATGGTTCGCCCAGATTGGCTACGTGCACGGAGTATAGGAGTTCTCATTAATTGTGAAGGGTTTACACAAGTATATATGTTCAAGCTATCCTTTAGTGAGTACTAGTGAATGATTTAATACAAATGACATTAGGAAATATTGTGAGAGAATGATCTCTATTTATAGAAGAAAGTTTCTAGTTTCATTCTGACATTGACACGTGTCGTGTTGTGATTGGCTTCTGATGTTGACACATGTCATGCTATAATTGGCTTCTGATGTCGACACATGTCGCGCTGTGATTGGCCTCCTAGTTAGAGGGAATCTCTTCTGGGTCCTTGACGGTATAACATTGACCGGTGCTCAGTAGTTTCGGGATTGGTCAAGTATGGTACAAACAATTGTTGTTGCCTTGATTTCCAGGACCTTGATCCCTTCGATGGCGACATTCTTGAGCCCTATGGCCTTGCTTTCCACAAACCCAGCAACTTCCCCTGATTTTCTTGAAATCTTTGCCTTTCGCACCAGGGATAAAATGTTTTTCCTTCTTCTTAGTTTTTTGGAATTTCGGCCTTTGCTTTGATGAACTTCCTTTAACAACTTTCGCCTTGGCTTCCATACTCGAAATCAGGCTCTTCTCATTCTTTCTGTTATCTTCCTCAATTCTCAGCTTCACAATGAGATCCTCAAGGGTCATTTCCTTACGTTTGTGCTTGAGATAACTCTTGAACTCTTTCCAAGAAGGTGGCAGTTTTTCTATAAAAGACGCCACTTGGAAAGACTCATTGATCACCATCCCTTCAACATGAATGTCATGGATGATTTTTCTAGAGATCTTCAGTTTGAGAGACAATAGACTTGGAATCCACCATTTTGTAGTCCAAAAATTTGCCCACGACAAATTTCTTTGAACCAGCATCCTCGGTTTTATATTTTTCTCAAGTGATTCCCAAAGTTCCTTGGCTGTTTTGAATACCACATAGACATCATACAACGAATCATCTAATGCATTGAGAGTATAGTTTTTGCAGAGGAAATCATTATGTTTCCAGGCATCAATGGCCGTTAAAGTTTATGTAGAAAAAATATTTTCTCCATCTGCAGTAGGCTTAGTCTCGCGCAGAACATTAGCCAAGTTCAGTGTTGTTAAATAAAACAGCATCTTCTGCTGTCATCTTTTGAAATCTCCGCCCTTAAATTTCTCAGGCTTCTCAGAATGAGGTTTAGTTACTAATTGTTCCATACTGTTCGAAGATTAGATTGTTGGAGAACAATTCAGAAATAAATAAAAATAACAGAACTCGAAATTGTAGAATATTTATTAATCAAAATACTTGCTGTGCAGAATGAAATACAGAAATAAATACAAGAATATCAATGGTACTAAAGTGATTACATAAAGTAGAGGCTAGCGTAATAGATATGTCATTCGAACAGTATTTCCGTCCTACTCTTGTGCTTGTGGTTCAACAACGTCTGCTCAACCAGGATTCAACTACCTAATTCTACAACCCGTACTGGATTCTGGAATTCTAGCGAATTTGCTTTGTGTGCTTACTCTCTGGAAATTTCGTACGGAAGAAAGGAGGAAGATGATCTGGAATGGAACTGAGGACTCCAGTTATGTAGGCTCTTTCCTACCTCTTCAAATACCTTTTGGATGTATCTGAAGCTATACAACTCTTTCCAAAGAGTTGTTTCTATTAATCAAAATGTTTTTAATTAATTTTAATTAAAAACTTAATTCGAAAATTAAAACTAATTGATCAGATTAATTTTAATTATTAGGCCCCAAGTGCCCCAAGGCCCAAGGCCCAAGGCCTAAGGCCCTTGTCTTGATTAATTAATATTAATTTATATTAATATTATGGTATTGTTTGTACCATACTTAGGGCCTCCGTATTTAGATCTCGTATAAATACTCGGGGGACTCAAATGTAATTATGTAATAAATGAAGGGGCAAATATGTAAAAAGGGGAGAAGCCCTTAGTCTATAAAAGGGCCTCCTCACCCTCACAATCAAAGGGCTCTCACCCTTACAATCCTCTCACAAACAGAGAAATACAATATCAGTATGGACGTAACCCAAACATTGGGGTGAACCACGATACATCTTGTGTTATTTACTTTCTTGCAGATTCACGGTCGGATTTACATTGTTCCAAGACCCCTTCGATTTTGTGCATCAACGTTTGGCGCCGTCTATGGGAAAAGACACGAAAAGCTATGTCGGTTCTCTTTCATTTTTTCATCTCACCACCGTGAGACCTCATCACTGTCCACCGTGGATCTGCAAAAAACCCACACAGAGACAGAGCCATGGAGATAATAGAGGAGAAGAAGCTACAAAGCGCACCAAATTCCCAAATTTCCCCGCCACTGCCCGCAGACACCACCATGACCATAGATCCCAACCACACGTGTCTAAATCCCCACCACTTCGGTCATGTGATCTTGACACATGCGCCCCAATATTTGTTGTTTAATATTCTTAAATTTTTCCCTCAGCTTGGTGATTTTTGGAATGTCCCTGTAAGCTTCAAAATGGCTACATAACTGGTTCACAGCCTCCAATTGTGCAGCTGCCTCTTTATATTGTCATTTTGAAGCCATTACTTAGAGCTACTCAACAATAGAGACGAGCATGGTCAGGCAATGAAGAGCACTTTCGTCTTAATTTCGCGGATTTTATACATGAGTTCCTGCCTCCATGGCATGCATAACAACGGCGAGATCTTCTTTCGCTTTCGTTCCTGAATTGCTCTGCTAGCGAACCGTCGCTAAAATTTCGGCTTCGACAAACCCGAAGCTGAACCTCGAAGCTCAAAGCAGCAGCTTCACGCTTTTGCCTCAAAATCTCCCTTTTAAAATCTCCAAATCGAACGACCCGTACACCTCCGACGACTCGAAAACAATGTTAGAGCTCCGACTAGTCCAGGGCTCGCTGCTGAATGATGCGAAATATATAAGCACACAAATTAGCGAAATATATAAGCACACAAATTAAACCCTCTTTTATCAATTGTAGCAAAGTATGTAAGTAGGGATCTTCTAAGCCAGGGATTATGAGGGATTGCTAAAACACTTAAAACTGACTCAAAAACATGAAACAAAGTTTAAAACACTAAACTAGACTCAAAGAATGCAAAACTACTAGAAAACACTAAAACAACTCAAAAGACTCAAAACAGCCCAAAAACACTCAAATCTGCCTAAAAACACAAACTGGGCAGATTTGAACTCTAACACTCCTTTGGACGAATTTTTGGGTTTTCTTGACTCAAAACACTTAAAAACACAATCTAAAACATATTCTAACTAGTTAGACACTCTAAAGTAAAGGGGGTTTGGTTTTGGACGAAAATTAAATGAAATTAAACAAGAAAGACTTAAATAGATTTTAAACGAAATGTGGTGAATTAGATGGATGATTGGCTAGCTAGGAGGTTCTTCTCCACACATGTCACACTTGCATACAAAACGATTTCCAATTGCTTTCCAATAAACTATGAATCCTCAACGCCCCAGATTAACCGTGAATTGCACTAATTAACCCTCAGATTTTCCTAAAGTTATTGAATTGGATGATTGCATACAACAACCCAAAGCATTCCCCACAAGTTCTCTACATGAATTGCATAATAAAGATACAAGCAAGAATCATTAAGTTCTATGAAAATCATAAGCATTGACGAGGCACTTGTTACTATGAATTGCATGAAACTTATGCCAAGAATTTACTTAACACGATTGTGATTAACAACCTTTACTACTCTTGAATATAAGTTCATAACGATTAGGTGAAACTCCCTTATATCCTAGCATTAGATTTATGCATGAAAATTAAGCGTGCACTCTCAACCAACACACACAAATCAGTTTTAATTCATAAAGATAAGCAAATTGAATTCACAACTTATGAAACGCAACTGAAAGTAATCAAATTATATAGCAAGCATAAACATGGTTTCGAATTCCCCCATAGCCAAGGGGGGTTTAGTTCCTCATATGCACAAAGCAAAGATAAATAAATTTAGACATTGAAATCCAAAGAAAGAAAACACCTAGACGCGCCAACTTGGACAGCAGGTGCATTCATGAACTTCTCCTTCCTCCTTGCTGCGGCACAAAGCTTGGGGATAGGTTCTTAGGGTTATGAATGGTGTAGAATGGATGGGGAATAGTATGGTGGTGTTTAGGATGGATGGGTGGTGCGGCAAGGGGTGGTTTTGGTCAGGAATTATGGAAGAATGGTGGTGGAAGTTGCGACAGAGAATGGGGAGATGTTTTTGGCGTGAATGATGAATTATGAGGGGTGGTAGTACGGCCAAAGGCTGAATAAGAGTATATATAGGCACATAAAACCCTAGGGAAATCAGATATGGACTTGTAAAATCCAAATCCACAAGGAAAAAGGCTTAAACAATCAGAATCCCCAAGGGAAAAGGCCAAAAGGTGCGGCAGGTATAGGTAACAACGGATAAGGCTTCTAGAATGCCTTGCAAGGCAAGGAAAAGAGGTTTCCTTGCTGAAATTGGTGTGGCAGGTATGGGGAGTGTTCTAGAACCTTTTCTTTGTGTCCAAAAAACGCTTAGGAAACCTTCAAGATAGCTGGAACTTAAGGCCATCTAGGTTTAGGAAAGGTCGACCCAAAATAAGAAACTTTAGGCTTAACTTTCCTACTTCAAGTAGGAAACCTTGTTCGAGTAGGAATCCTCATTCTTCTAGGAATCCATCTTTGACTAGGACTCCTCCATTGATTAGAAATCATCCTTCAATTAGGACTCTTTCAATCTCGTCCATTTCTTTCGTTCCAAGCATGTGATATCCATTCCAAGCTCAATTTTGCTCCAAAAGGTTCCAAAATGCACTACTTTGCATACTTTGCCCTTAAAACCTGAAAACACATGAAAATAACTTAAAAGACTAATTTAACTAAGAAAACACAACATAAATACACAAGAACAAGCTCACTAAGTCGCATAAATATGCTCATATCACTGAAGAAGGTGCTGGAGTCTATCAAGGACCTGGTGAACGACGCCAACTTCGACTACTCTTCCTCCGACTTCTCCCTTCAGGCCATGGACTCCAGCCACGTGGCACTCATTGCCCTCCTTCTCAGATCTGATGGCTTCGAGCACTACCGATGCGACCGCAACATCTCCATGGGTATGAACCTCGGCAACATGTCCAAGATGCTCAGGTGCGCCGAAAATGATGACATCATCACCATCAAGGCTGACGACGGCAGCGATACCGTCACCTTCATGTTCGAAAGCCCCAATTTGATGTTTCCTGTTTCGAAACTCATGCTCTGCGGATTTTGAAGATGTGAGAGCTTGGAAATGCTTGCTAAGCTGAGAATTGTAGCATTCAAGATGTAGTAGAAGCTGAAAAGGAAAGACAGGCGGCATAAAGCGATCATTCAAACCAGCCAACCAACGGAGATAAACACAACTGACTTCAAATGGGTTCTTCCATCAATCTCCTGGCAATTGCTCAACTCTTTCTATCAAGCACTCACTAGTGATCTGATCGGAGTCTCATTCAACAATTGGGAAGCCTGCAGAAAGCGATCATTCAAACCAGCCAGCCAGCAGAGATCAACACAACTGACCTCAGATGGGTTCTTCCATCAATCTCCTGGTAATTGCTCAACTCTTTCTGTCAAGCACTTACCAGTGATCTGATCGGAGTCTCATTCAACAATTAGGAAGCCTGCAGAAAGCAATCTTTCGAACCAGACAACCAGCGGAGCTGAAACACAATCATGAAGTTAGAAATCAATCCTTCAATCATGATGTTAGAAAAAGAAAAATGAGGATGGGCTAAACGTGGGCTGTACTAGTTGTTAAGAGAATATTTCAGAAAAAGAAAAAAGGAAGAAATGAGTAGAAAGGAGAAGTGACAGAAAGAAAAGCAGAAAGCAAAGAAGCAGACATAATTACGGTGGTGATGGCATGCAGAAAAGGGAATTATGGGCATGACCCATTGAGTAGAGGGTCAGATTTATTTTTGAATGATGTGATTTATTTATATTTCGGAGACATCTGTATAACCCCATCAGAGGGTAATAATAATAAAAAAATTAAAAAAAATAAATAATAAAAAAAAGGGCAAGCCCAAAATAATGGGCTGGAATGTTATGTGGAGGGCGAAGACCCATATGCCCAAAAGAGTCAGGCCCTCTATTATCACCAACTACGTGATCAAAAGTACGTCCAATACTACAAAAAATATTTGGCAACCTGCCACTATTATCACCAACCAGGTGATCAAAAGTACGTCTAATACTCTAAAATTATACATGAGCATCACTCATGTCAATCATACATAAACATTCATGACCATCATTCATGTCAACATTCATGAGCATCACTCGTGTCAACATTCATGAGCATCACTCATGTCAACATTCATGAGCATCACTCATGTTAATCAACATAAACATTCATGAGCATCACTCATGTCAATCAGCTTCGAAAGCTTTATTTACAAAGCTTCAGCTTCGAGAACTCCAGCTTCAAAAGCTTCATTTACAAAAGCTTCAGCTTCAAAGCTGTACTTGCAAAGCCTCACCTACAAAGCTTCAGTGCAGGGTATACAAATATCGCCTCCGAACAACCGCCACTTCGGCACATACATGGATTCAATTTGAAGTCTCCAGCCAACAGACTATATTGACTGAAGACTTGGGGGACTACACTATGTACCATATATTGGGCTTCCACAACTGGGTCTCATGAAAAATACTGGGGGGACTTTACCCATTATTTATGTATTGAGGAGCGAGCCCTTATTCTATAAAAGAGACTCCCTCACTTTCATTAGAAAGCACCCATTATTTATGTACTAAGGAGCGAGCCCTTATTTTATAAAAAGGACTCCCTCACCTTCATTAGAGAGCATCGCCGCCTACTGAGCAACCGCCTTGCCGCGAGCATCAACTCTAGCTCATCATTTATGTATTTGAGGAACGAGCCCTTATTCTATAAAAGGGACTCCCTCATCTTCAACGCCACAAGCCGAGCCAACCAAGGCAACATAAGCCACAAGCCGAGTAGCCTCGCAACATGTGTTACTTCTAGTTGAGCATCATTTCAGATTGAGCACCGCCTCATATCGAGTATCATTTCAAGACGACATCTAGTTACTTCGGTCCATACATGGACTAAATTTCAAGTCTCCAGCCAAAAGACTTTCTTGACTGAAGACTTGGGGGACTACTATTTGTACCATACTTAGGGCATTTGTATTTAGATCTCGTATAAATACTCGGGGGACTCAAATATAATTATGTAATAAATGAAGGGGCAAATATGTAAAAAGGGGAGGAGCCCTTAGTCTATAAAAAGGGCATCATCACCCTCACAATCAAAGGGCTCTCACCCTCACAATCCTCTCACAAACAGAGAAATACAATATTAGTATGGACGTAGCCCAAACATTGGGGTGAATCACGATACATCTTGTGTTCTTTACTTTCTTGCAGATTCACGGTCGGATTTACGTTGTTCCAAGACCCCTTCGGTTTTGTGCATCAACAGGTATAATCATCAAGCCTAATCCACACAATTGGTGGCCCAAGCCTCAATCCCCATTCCAAATGGTCCAACACCTAACTAATATTGTAGAGGACAAAATATATATAAAGGTCATTGAGAATCTTGTTTTCTCCAATGTAGGACAAGAGTCTCAAAACTCTAACAAAGGGAAGTGCAGGGCGATGGGAATGAGAAAATAAAAATATTTTAATATGAATATTATTATTTTATTTTTTATAAAGTCAGAAATTAAAAATAAAATTATTATTTATTATTATTTTATAATAAAAAATAATAATATTTTAATAAAATGGACTAGGTTATTTTTTTAGGGGTGGAGATGCTTTAGCTTATTACTGTTTATTGGGGTCTATTACTGTTCACTGAAGTGGATAAATGGACTGGGTGCTGGCGCAAAGTCTTTAGGAGTCGAATTGCTCTTATGCACCATAATGGTGATGAAATAAAGATCCAAATTTGGTTGAAGAAGAGAGGAGGGGGAGTGGGCATGGGAAGAACTTATCCTTTGTGTAAATTTAGGCCACATTTTTTTAAGATAATTTTATATTACTGTATGCTCAGAATATTTTAAAAGGCATTTGACTAAAAAATGTAAGAATTTTCTATTATGGGTGGGACGGGCCTTGTGTTTAATGATTTGAAATCACTGTGCTTATGTATATTTTGTATTTCTTTTCTTTGTGTATACATCTTGCTTTTTCTTCATTCTTTTTTTCTTCCTTTAGCTTGTTGCGCGACGTATAATTTTTCTCCTTAATTTTGGAATGTTCCTAGTCCTATTGAAGCGAAGATCCCTATAGTTTTATCATTGTTACAAATTTGATGATTGTATGATTAAACCTTTGCCTTTCTTTTTTCGACCCTAATATGAACATTACTTCCTTGCAAAAGAAATTTGTCAATTTTGTGATCGTTGAACGATTCTCCAAGTACGCACATTTTACGACCATATCTCGTATATATTCTGCAACAACTTAAGGGTTTATGCTTTATAAGGCTCATAGTTGTCCTTGAGTTTCAATTACCATCCCCAAACAGACAGACAAACAGAAGTGCTTGTAGATGTTTAGAAATTTCTCTTGGATGTTTTCTGCAATTTAGAACTAAAGCAATGGCTTCACTCGCTTGGTATGCATGGAGTTGCGACATGTAGGATTGTCTCTGAGATTTTGGGGTCCTTGTGCGAATTTTATAAAAGGGCCCCTCCTTAAGATAGTTTTTTTTTATTTTTTTAATTTTTTTTAATTTTTTTATTTAAGATAGGACAATGTATTGACACTATAAAGCAAGCACTTAAATCAAAACAAAGTTTAGTGCTTACTGATTGCAAGTTTAAAAATATCATTAATAATACATAAAAAGAGCTACAAACATAACGTTAACTAAATAATCAAAAGTAGTTCAACCTTAAACAATCAAACATAAAAAAAAAATTCAATAACTCTAACTTTAAAAATTTTCACTTGAATATATAACATAATTATATAATAAAATTAAAAAATACCGTATTTAAGTTGATATTATTGGCACTTAAAATATCTCATTGTACTTCAAATTTTTATATTTAGAAAGAAAGAAAAAAATTACTTTATAAGGAGTGCACAATGAGAATTTTTTTTTTTTTTTTTGTTAAACGATAGATTTTGTTAGATTAGATGTTAATATAGTTACCGATGGGATTTGACCCACATCGTCATGCAAGGGCTGAACACCTTTCCACCACTGTGGTAAATGACCAAGGTATTAAATATCGAAGATATCGGAAATATCGGTAGTCCAAAAACACGAAAATATCGATGGAAATATTGGTATATTATCGATATCGATAAAAATAATATGGAAACCACGGAAATTGTAAGAAAAACTTGAAATTTTTTATTGAAACTTTGCAAGATGTTTATTTAGTCAATGATCTATTAGTTTATCACAAAAAATTGGAAGGAAATGCATTGCATGATGGATTTAATTGATTTAAGTTGATTATATAGCGAGTTGGCAAACATTGTGAGTGTAGAAAATATGTAGTAATTAATGAAAGAAGTTTAAACACATCATAATCATTTATATATAATGAATTAGTACAATATTTTACACTTTATACATTGCATGGTAAGATACATGAATGACTTAGTACCACATAGAGTTCCTATGAGGTTCAAATTTTTCACTATCTTCATCATCTCTATGTGTAGAGTGAGTGTATTGTGAAGAGTAGTTATCAAATGATAAATCCCCAAAATAGTTTTGCATGTAATTGTTAATATGCCACCCATATGGATCCGAGATTGGTTGACGTTGTCCATAAGCAAAATCATTTGAAGATTGAGTCTCGGATTGTTTCCATGAGTCGCTCGATTCCATCTCAACAGGAATGGGATATGAAGGGTAGGGAAATGGTTAGTTATGAGTATAACCATAGTTACTACTTCCCACTCTAATAGAGTCCAAAGTTATAGATAACGAGTCATCTTCTTGACTTGACAAAATCCCCTTGCCTCTTTCTCTACTAGTATAGTCATTCCCTATGGCACCAATTCCTGGTCCTGCCCGCCTACTGCCATAGTCCTCATCCTGTATTGCATGCGTGAAGTTTGCCTCACCAGTGAAGTGGCTCATAAATCCGAGAGGTGGTCCAACATAGTTTCCACATCCACCACCACTACCTCCAGCTCCACTATATCCTTCATCATTCCCACCTCCGGTGGTAGGTGAGTCTCCTGATCTTGTACTAGAGCTATCATTAGTATCAGCACGATGTTGTG